TAGAATTCATTTTATGATGAGGATGGAGGCACTGGTAGGCTTCCAGATTGCTTTAAAACTGTAAATATCAATAAAACATTGCCCAACTGATCTCTCTCTATATAGTAGCATTTCACTTTAATTGCGGAAGAACACGGATTTGGGGTTTTTTTTAAATGAGAGAATTGGAGGGGAGGGGGTTAATCACAGACTTTGCAATTTTTAAACAGGGAACACCAGGATCCCTCCTGGTGAGCCAAGTCGCAGTACCTGGGCAGAGGAGCACATCCAGGGCCAGCACCAGGGACTCAGCTGGAGGGCAGATGAGGGGACTGACCTCCTGGCCATTTGGGGCCAGGAGGACACACTTCGACAGTTCAAAGTGTGCCACTGCAGTGAGTATATTTTCTGGGAGATGGCTGCCCAGATGCCAGGGCAGGGCCACCAGAAGACATGTCAGCAGTGCCGTGCGAAGGCCAACTGTGCAGCCACAGCCCGCTGGCAGCTGGCCCAGAAGTGCAGGAGGCTCTGCTATAGTGCCCATACCACAGCCCAGGCGGCCATGTGGCCCCTGTCGGGGTCTGGCTGGCATGCAGCCATGGGGCTGCAGGTCCAAGCAGGCAACAAAATATGATGGGGGGGATGCTGTCGCAGGTGGCAGCAGCTCCCACTGCCAGACTGCTGCAGTGGATAGAGGATGCACAAATTTGTGCCGCTACTATTTGAGCTGCCACAAGCGCACATGCCTGCATGTCTGGACACAACCATTGCGTCTACTTAAGAGAGAAGACGTCCCTGCCATTGGATTTGACCCTCCCCTGCCAGAGCAACAGAAAAAGAGATGCTGTGCCATTCACTCAGAATGGGGTAGGCTGGGGAAGAAAAGCAGACCAGCATGGCATGAATTATGGAGAGAAAGTCAACTGCAAGGCTGAGTTGCCTGAGCTGCTGTTCAGTTTCTGTCATACTACTAACAGTTTCTTGCAAGGTTTAAAATTATACTGATCATCTTTCTATGGCTGGGACCACAGCAGCAGCAGCAGCTCAAGGGGCAGAATTTGAATGAGCCTTAATAAACTTAGCATGGGGAATCTTTTTTTCCTCCCCAAAAAGATTAAGTGTTCTTAAAATGTCCTAGAATATATTGTAAATCATTCATTTCAAAGGACAAGCCAGCAAAGGTTTTGGTACCTGAGCCAGCTGGCAGTTTCAAAAGCATACCATGACAACCCCTTAACCATTTGGATGCAGTACATTTGAAAATCTGCAGGGTAGATTCTCTATTGTATCCAGTGTATATGAGAGAGAATGGGCAGTGCCTTTCATCTGAGTGCATTAAGTGCCTCAAATGTGGTCTCAAACACTACTCTAAGCTCTCTGCTGGGGATAACCTTCAACTTTGGAGGATCCCCAGAAGGCCTCGTGTTGATGGACCCTTTGCTGTTCTTTCAACAGCTTTCAGGGGAGTATAGACAGCTGTCACAAACTAGGGCACCCCAGGCTGTGCCAAGACTGTGAATGAGACGGGGGAAGGGTCAAGCCATGAAAGGTACCATGACACGCTACACGCACACGTGCTCCCCCTCAACTGAACAAAGCTTCGGAGCCTGCTCTCAACCCAGCCATACCACTAGCTTCAACAGGTAGGGACCAAAGGGGTAAACCCTGTCACAAGCTCTCACACACGTTACCGTCAGCAATTGCTGTATTAGTTCCACTGCAGCAGAAAGAACTTTTTCCAGCATGATGCCCCCAAGCACCGAGCACCATGTTCCAGGGAAATGCCATTTCTAATCTCTCCAAAAGTCAAACCTCTAAACATATTTAATTTAAAGTTCCTACTGATCATCAGGTGCAGGCAACAAGAACATGCCTAACAGCAAACCCTGCTTATTCTCCTCCAACAGCCAGGCAAAGGCAAGTCCTTCAGGAAGTCTTTCTATGGAGGATAACCATTAGCACTTGAAGACAATGGGAGTTTAGCATATGCTGCACGTCCTAAATAGGTATGGATTTAAGCAGGTGTTTCATGGCGCTGACAGACGTGCAACTCCCCCGTCTAACTCGTGGTACTTTCTGTGAAGCGTCATAAGATAGACCAACCCTCCCAACCAAACAGACATTCATTGTTGGATGGGAGGGTGGAGAATCGAGCTCCACTTTGGAGCCAATCCAGCAAAATGGGCTATGTGTCTGCAGCCTCTTCCTCCTAGTCCCATCCCCTGCCTCAGCCTGTCCCTGCTCCTGGCATGCTCCAACAGATGTTAATGAAGGCGCTCCACTTCGGAGCACAATCAGGCACTTTAAGTGCTCTGCTGCCATGCACTTCTGTCAGCGCATGGCTGTACAGCGCTTGCAGCGGCCGACTGTGCGACAAAACGTCACTTCTGTCAGCACCCTCAGGGCTCTTCTGAACTGAGGTTTTAGGTCACTCCTTTAACTTGGCTGAGCCCCTTGTAAATCCAGCACAAGATTATTCCGACCTTGGTGTCTTTTCCTCTTGTTTGAAAACATTTACGGACAGCTGCTCAGGGAAGTTAAACAGGGCCAAGTGACTCAGGTGAGAGATGGTTTTTGCCAGAGTCAGAGCGGCGGCTGCAGCAAAAAGCTTGGGCTGAGCTACACTCACATAAAACACCTGCTTGTCATTCTGAATGACAAAGAAATTAAGAAATGCAGTGACAGCTGGTAGATAACTCACTCACAGCAAGGAGAGCTGTGTTTGCCTACTAAATCAGTCTCACTGAAAGGCACGGCACACACAGAGACTAAGCATCTTCGGACTAGAAATCATCACTGGTTGACAGGATGTCTATATACAGTCACTGCTATATCACCAGGCCCTTCTGCACAACCCAAAATGCTCTAGACCGGCTCACTCAAGGGGAGAACTGAAAGGGTTGGCAGCTAGCAAGTCCTATGGTATTGAGGAGGAAGGGCTATGCTTTCCCAGTGGAAACATCACTATAGTAGCCAGGTACCAAAGGATAGGAATGGTAGCTGTGACTGTATCCTTAAAACAGCAAGTAGACTGCTCTGCACATCGGTGGACTAATCACTTTGGAGCCTGCCAACTTTGCCTATTAACGTCACCTTAGCCTTGGTGGCCACGCTGCTACAAGGGGATACAGTCTCGGAAGACATTGTGCTCCATCATATGATTCTTCCTGACATTCAGCACCTCAGTAAATGGTACCCCCCACACCATGGAAGCAAGCAAGCCCTCTCTCGAGGGATCAAATCATGCTACAAATTCAAATGCACCACAACTGCAACTTACTTAGGAATCCAGTAGAGTTCACTGTAGAGTCCCCTAGTAAAGCAAAATATTTATGGCTAGGATGTCAGTGGGTTAGCCTCGGATAGCAAACCATCATGTTTAACCCAAATAAGCCTCTTGAGACACCGGATTTGCAATTTTAGACAAAGAAAAGAAAGAGAGAGAAATCAGAGGATTCATCTGGGCAGCACATGGGGTGCAACCAGCCAACAAGTGATCCTGCTAATTTATTCTACTAGTGTCATAACATACTGGTAAAGCTACAACATCCCAGTTTGGCCAGGACGGTACTAGCTTGAATGATGTGCCTCACATACCATACATACACGTGCAGGATTTTGGCCCTATGCAGTACTGGCACTGCACTGGAGTGGAGGTGTCCTGGTCTGGGCTGCCAAAGTTTTAGTAGCTTTAACAAAAGTTCTCATGGGGCGATTAAACCATTGGGTTCAAGCAGTTGGGTTCTTCAAATTGGTTTGATAGGACTTGCTCCTTACTTTAAAAGGGTATTTGATGGCCTGAGCCCACAATATCTTTAAAAATTGTGTAAAGCTCCAACATAAAGATCTGGGGATTTCTATTATACGGGTTAAGCTGATTTGGGAAGGAGTTAGATCTTCCTTGGAAGCTGGTCCCGGACTCCAGAATGACTTTCTGCATGAACATCACAAACCTCCCTGCCTACAGCTCCAAGTGGGGAGTCTTCATCTGTCTTGCTTTCCCCATTTGAGACAGACAGACAGCAGCGTGTTCACAAAAGAACCAAACTGAAAACATTATGCCATCTCACACTCTTCTCCCTATGTGGAGAGGTGGAGAAAAAAAAAAGTGAACCTCAAGGGAAATGATGCTGGTCATGTTGCTTAATACCCTATAGAAGTCACTTGGATACTAAGCAGATGAGGAAGGTATAACAACCTGCAGAACAGACAGGAATGGACTGCCAAAACGGTGTGTCCAATATTGTCAGAAGTAGCCACTGATTTTTAATGCTTGACTTGGGAAATGTCATGCCTCCTTTTCTGACATGCAGACTTTGCACAGACCCTGGCAATAGCAACAGAGCATTGCTAAAAAGAGGAACGAGGGGTCAAAGTTGGACTACCAAAGCCTGAAGCACCAAAGTGCAGTGGTCTCAACTGGGGCGCTCAGGAATGAACCTGTGCGGAGACTATCACGGAATAAGCCGAGCTAGAAAACGCTACTTATTTCTGTTTCACAATCCCATCTCCACTTTTGCTGTCCTGCTCTTTGTCCTTATTCTTTCACCTACACCAACATATTACACAGGGACTACCTACATGGGCAAGTTACTCTGGAGCAAACCCTGTTGCATCAAGAAGTAAAGAGCTCTGTCCACACAATGCCAGATCCTTCATCAGAGTAAGTTGGGAAATCTCCTTCTGCTTCATGTCCAGGAGTCAATTTTCCCTCATGCACTTCTCTGCCTTCTACCACCCTGTTCTCCTTCAGACTTCCCCGCCCTCTCCCCAGCCCTTCACATCTGTATTCACCCCCTTGCACACGCACAAAAAAACAGAAGTGTAAGACAGCATATCATTTCTGAACCTCCCTGGCACTGCACGACCATCCAAGGCTGAAACATGCTAAACAAGCCAGTTTCTTCCCATTTCACATCCCCTATTCCTTCTGTCCCTGTGTTTCTCCATCTCGAGTTCAATGCAAGCTGTTCAGATCAAGAACAAGACCCCCGATCCCTCCCATTCGAGAGTGGACTCACCAGGACGCGATCTCCAAGCCGCAAATCCTTCTCCCCTTTCTTCACCGACCCGCTGTCTGAAAGGTTAGATCCAGACTCGTTGCCAGTCTTCATGGTGCTATTCAGGACGCTCTCCCTCAGAGGAATGACGCGAGTAGAAAGGGGTGGGGTGGCCGTCCCCGAATGCAGTGACAAGTTCTGAGTTGTGAGGGACTCCACAGAATGGGCATCGCTCCCCGATCCCTCTGCCACAGGCTGGCGGGTGAGCTTGGAGGGTCGTGTAAAAATCCCCTGCAGCGGCTGGCACTCGAAGTAACGTACCCCGCCAACAGAGCCATCATTCTTACCCACCGGATCATCCAGAACGACCCCTGCCCACTGGCCGGGAGCAAATTGCGTCTCCCCGAGGTACTGGATCACACCTGGCTTCACTCCATTCACCCAGACACGTTCACCCACCACAAAGTCTCCCAAGAAGTCATCGCCAACCTCAGCAACCTTTGGGCCTGACTTCTCAGCACTGCCGGTAGAGGCGGGACCTTGCTTGTGCAGAGGTGAGCCTGTGAATCAAAGGAATGCAGAATTAGTGCGATGAAAAGCCTGAGGGAACCAAGTTACTAGAAAAGTTGATTAATAATGAAGATCCAGGTTATACTGGACACAGACGAGGACTTAAATGGCAAAGGTTACTTACACGTTCTCCAACTCGTACTCACTGTTTCCACATATGTATTAAAAACTTACCTGTGCCTTTTGTCCATCTGCAGGAAAACAGCCAAAAATAACCACATGCTAGCTTCCCAGACATGCTGGAAGGATGGCAGGGTAGGTAGGAAAGGAAGCATTTGTAGTCTAAGTATTGTGTGGTACGGGGCAGGAGGAGCAGTGTAAAGCCTCATAAAGACCTTGATGCCACAGGTAACTTATTTGGCACCGCTCCTCAAAGAGGAAATTATCTTCCTCAGAAACGTGGAACTAAAATTTTTGCTGATGGGGGTTACGAGACTGCTCTGTGGATAGATATAGGCAAACAGTTGCTTGGTAAGATGCTAATGCTAGCAGAAGATTTCCTGGATTTTGCAGGGCCAATGCTGCTATACACTGCAAACGGCTTCTGCTGTGCAGTTCTTTCCATTAGCTTTTAAAAGGTGCAGCCAATACCCATCAGCAAGGAGAACATTTGGATGACTATTAATTAAAGATAATAAACTCAGCCCCAGAATGAACAAGTGCAAATCCAATGACTTCAAGCAGGGCTGCAATTCATTAAACCAAAACCAACTGAAATACAGAAGAAGTTGTTTCAACTGAGTCAGTCAAGTAAAAGCCCGACTTCCTGCCCCATTTCCCTTTTCTGAGAGATGTAGAAGATGGCCCTAAAGGTTTGTTCCTCCCAGGAATTTTCTCCTCAGTATAGATCAGACTTGACTGAAGGCTGCAGCACTAAGGCTGGCAGATACCTAACGGAGTGGCAATTAAAGAAATTTTTTTGCAAAAATCTGGTTGGTCTAATAAAAGATATCATCTCTACTACGAGTCCTGATTGCCTTTTCCTTTAGACCAATATGGCTACAACCTGGATACCTAACTGAGCAGTTGGAATTCAAGTGAGAATAAAGTGGGATCAGTCGTAGCACTCGGGTGAAAGTATGAGGAAGGTCAGGGTCAGACAATCCCTATCACCAGCCTTGGGTTTTCAACCTAGTTCCAAGAGAGGAAAAATAAGGAGCATTTGAACTTTGTTAGAGACTTTGTTGTAAAAGGAAGGTAAGGAAGAGGCCTAGAAGTCATGGGAGGAGTTTGGAGAATAAAAATGTATGGAAATGTAAAATCAAGCGCCTTTTCCCATTAGCTCGGCTCCATAAAGTTGAGATTTCAGACCGTGTTTTCCAGTGTATGGAGTCTACCACTGGCACATATGATGTATGCATACATGTGGTAGAGATGGCCCAAATCATCTTGGAGGAAAGAGAAATCAGCCCAAATCTTCAGCCAAAAACTCAAAACAAAGCATTTGGGCTCATAAGCCCATATCAGCAAGAATTCAGCTTGGGCTGACATTCAGGGACTCACACGTGCTACAAAGAGCAAGTGTCCTGTTTCAAAAATGTTCAATTAACTCAAAAAATATGCATCTGTCGCACTCGACAAGAAGCCTCAGTGTTGCAGCTGTCTGCTTGCAGGAGCTGGCCGAGCTGTAACTGCCAGTGTGGAAACGTCACAAGATTTTCATGGCACCGCCAGCCCAGCAAGGAGCAGGAATCACCAGAAATAGCTCCACCAATCAGTTCCCATCAAGTCTCCAGCCCAATTTTTCAAATCCTCCAGCAGCAAGCAATGCTACTTGCCCGTGCTGCCCACAGCCTGCTGAGCAAGGCATGCAAATGAACAGAGGCTCATTACTTCTGTGACATATGAAGGTATTATCTCCCACTGTGTAAATCTAAAGGACAGAAGACAAAAATCACCCTGTCCTACATGGGTGAAGCTCCCTCTAGAGTCAAAGTGAACTACTGTCTGCATACATGAGGTCTGAATGATCTCATGAAGTCCCTTCCAGCCCTAATGTCTATGAATTTAGCCCACTGATACTAAATGACTGCCCTCATGTCCCATAGCAAGACAAGATTAGAACCCACAAGTGCTTTATAACCAGTCTTATGCCTTGTCCACTGGACCAGAATAGGAGAAGGGGTCTGACCAGTTACAGCAAGAAATCACACTTCTGAGCCCTTATCCAAAGTGACCAGCAAGGCTCGTTCAGATTCACCCATCCCCAATACTCAAGCTCCACTGTTCCCTCCAGATCTTTTAGAAGTAATGAACATGACAGGCCATGTCTGAACACCTGCAAAGTCCACACAAAGAACAAAAAAGCCCCCAAACCATGATAGATGCAGCTGTGCCAGAGGTGTACTGAGAAGTAGAAAGTCAGTGGTGCTCCGCTCGAGTTCCACACTACAGAGAGCTTAATGTTTCTGCTGCAACACCCAGCAAAGGACAGTGGTGTTTAAGCCAGCATCCAGCTTCAGAGTCAACAGATCCAACACACAGAGCTCAGGCCACAGACCTATTGTGCAAGCAGACTGCCGATTCAGGCAGACAGCAGAGGCATGATCTAAATCAGGAGGTTAAAAATTTAGGATGCAGTCTGAAACTCAGTGCAGAAACCCTACCAGTACAACAAAGAATAGTGAACACTACTGGCCAGACAGTGATACCCTACCTCAGGCTGAATTGCTCAACACAAGCAGAATTGGTATCATACAATTGGGCTCAATCTTTTGCACGAAGTTTTTAAAGGGTAGGGTCCTACTCTTTAAGAACCAAGGCAGCAAGTCAGTAACAATAAGCATGATGCCCCACAGGAGCAGAGTCTGGTTCCTTAAAGAAATACATTCACTAGAGTTACTGGGTTGCTTTCCACTCAGGTTTTCAGACCTGCTCTGCAATCTGCTTATCCCCAAAGCAATTTCTCTTAAAAAGTTTTAAGGAAATACCTTCATGGACTTCCAACTGGCATCCCTCCCATTCTACTAAAAGATTAAAGGAATCTTGATAAGTAGATTATGTCAACAAATTCAATTCTATATATATATATATATATATTATTTATTTTAAATTGCAGTTTCTGGCTTGTTTTATTACACATTTCAAAGACAAAAAGCAAGGGGCTGCATGGAAGGTGAAGGGCAATTAACTTTTTATATCCTATCAAATATTTACCTACAAGGTTGGAAAATAAGTCACAGCAACCCTGCGTTTGTGCCTCAGGAGCTTTAAATAGACCTCCTCACAAACAGAAAAATCCATCCAACCGCTCTAGTCGCACAGCTCAGCTGCAAGGACGTAAGAGAGCAGCGGGAGCAGCCATGACAACATGCATTTTACAAAGAAAGCCTCTCCGTTTGATTGGCCCAAGACGCTCTCAATAAAACGTATCAATGTGTATTTAAACATCTCTCTAACATATTAACTTGACAGAAAGCTATACTAAGGTGTAAATTAGAAGCAACATTTTTTATACGCTGGTTTTAGAGGCCCAGATTCAGCAAAGTGCAGAAACCCATGGAAATCTATGGTAAGTAGCCCTAGAAGAGACATACCTGGTACCCCACGTAAAAGTCATCACCAGGGATCCCAGTTTTCCCTGATATAAAATTGCAAATTCTCTGCTAAAAAGATAAAATCACAATTTTTTTAATAAAACCCCCAAAATCTGTTATTAAAATTAAAGGCTCCCCACAGGCCCCCTGGCCCTGCTCATGCCTCTCACTCTACCCTACAGCCTTGTTGGTGCCCCTAGACCCCCCACCTACAGCCCCTGCTCCCCCAAACCTGCCACAGAGGACCCCCAGCTGCCAGGGCTATGGACCCAGGTCTGCAGCCCTCTGCCCCTGCTCCTCCCTGCTGCAGGCTTGGGGGGCAGGGGGAGCACTGGCTCCCCGCCACTGCATGCACTCCTGGGGGACAGGGAGGCAGGCGCAGGCCGTGGGATCAGGCTCCTGCCTGGCTTTCTCCCACCCCACTGCTCCCAGGGCCTCTGCAGCCCAGTGGGTACGACCCAGCTGACAGGGCACAGCAGGGCCATGTGGGGATTTCCTCGCTGCTGCAAGCTCCATGCTGCCCTGGCAATGCATCCCCTGCACGTGCTGCTGCTTTGAGGGGCGCAACCCCATACTGCTGCTCTCGCTGTAGCTGCGCGCACAGGAGGCACGTTGCCAGGGCAGCACAGAGCTCGCAGCTTCTTCATGCGACCCTGCTGCGTCCGTGGAAGACATGGAGTACCTGCCTGGCCAGCAGTGCATGGACCCAGAGCAGCGTGATATCGGCCCAAACAGGCTCTGCACTTCCCTGTGCAGATTCCCCAAAAGGCCGATAAGCATGCCACTCCTAGTCCATGCACCGCCGGGCGGGCGGCACTCCATGTCTTTCCCCAACACCTCCTCGCTATCAGCCCCAGCCAGCTTCCGGCAGAACGCCCGCCTGCCCGATAGCACGTGGACCAGGAGGCGGCACGCTATCGGCCCTACAAGGAAGCCCGGCCAGGCGGGGACTCAATGTGGGGCTTCTCCCAACGCTTCCCAGCTCCCTTAGCCCGTAGCCACATACCCATGCCCTGCTCCCCACCTGCCCTGCTGGCTCTTCCCCCAGCCCTGGCAGTCACCCATACCCACACCTGCCACCCCAGCTCTGACAGTGCCTCCCAGCCATGACCCGCAACCCCCCAGCCCTGCCAGAGCAGGCCTCCAACCCCCTGCAGGCCCCACTTACTGCACAGGCTCCAGGAATGAAGTGAGCCTGAGCCCAGCCTTGGGTGACAAGCTTCAGGCCCCGTTCCTTTCCCCTTCTCCCTCTGGGCAGGGTTGGGGGTTTCCTGCCCTTTTTGCAATCAACTCTTGCAGGCTGGAGCTCTGCCCTCCTGCAGAGCTCTTTGCAAAAGCGGGAAATCTGCAGGTATCTCTGCTAAAAGGGAAAATCCATTTTTCTCTCTGATAAAGTTGGGAAATCCATGGTTTTTTCTGTTTTTCAATGGTAAACCAGGATCCCTGGTCATCAC